AAACGTAAACTTTTGGGTCAAAGTACAAATACACAAAAGTATCAAAACTTTATGTAATTGCATAAAAGCCCCACAAGGACCCTAATTGAGTAGGGTGGCCGGTTTTGAAGCAAAGTAATAAAAAAAATTTCAAAGTTTTTGTAAGTGGGGTGTGTGTAATGGAATAAATCATTACACACCTACCCACTAAAATTTCTTTAATTTTTCAAAACAAATATCTAAGATATTTAAACATAAGAAATATTTCAAAACAAAAACTTTATGAAATAAATCAAAAACTTTGAATCAAAACACCAAACCTTTTGTTCTTGGCAAGAACATATCAAGAACAATGAAGAACATCCATGAAAACCCATAAGAGCTCCATGAACATTCTTCACCCAAAAACATACCAAAACCACTCAAACTTAAGGGAAATAACATACAACCATACTAGGGTACATAGGGGTTCCAAAAGTCACTTTAAAACACTTTTAACAAGTCAAACAAGAACCCAAAAAACCACCCTTTGGATTTGGCCGAATTTCCCCAAAAACATGGCACCAAATTTTAGCTCCAAAATTCATGCTCATATGAACTACATCTACAACATTTGAGATGGCAAATTTTCTAACAAAATTTACATTCAAAGAAGTAAGAATAAAGCTTGTAACAATTACAACATTCAAATCACAAACTATGAACTACAAAACCCAAAAGGATTCACCAACTACTAGACTTAGGCTCTTGATACCACTTGAAGGAAAATTTGTGAAAAACAAGTTCATTTGAGCAACATCAACAACATGCAATTAACAATTAAAAGGCGGAATCATGTTTATATGCACTCAAAAACAAAACTTAACCCATGAACTTCAAAGCCTAGTAGATAGGTGAACCAAAACTCAACTCAAAACAAAGTGAGTTGAGAAATCAATACCTTTGTAGATTCCTCTTTGCATAAGCAAAGGCTAATCACCCAAAGAGAGGGCCTTCATTCCTTGCATCTTAGATCCATGGATTTGGATGGATGAAAAGGTTTCTCCAAATTCCCAAAATTGAGAACCTCTAAGTCTCCACACCAAGGCATATTGTAGAAGAAATAAGTGACCTTGAGGAAGTAAGATTGCTAGATGTTTTCCTCAAGGGTGGCCGGCCTCTTTGAGAGCAAAGGGAGGTTTGTGTTCTCATCTTTACTCCTAAGAAAACCCTAAGGATGAAATGGCTATAAAGATGTCTTTATACCACCTCACAATGGAGTGGCAAACTTGCAATTAAGCCAAGTTCACTACCCTCCTCTAAATGGCTGGCCATATGGGATTTATTGGGCTATTTGGGCCTTTGTGAATCATTATTCATTAAGTTGTCATACAACTTAAGTCAATGGACTTGACGTTCGAAGCCCATTGGGCCTTAAGGTCCAAAACTATCCCGAGGTCTTTTAACGAACTTATTCGTTTGATTAATAATCATATTAATTAATCCTTGCCATAAATAATTAAACCATTTAATTATTCTTACTCATCTCCGTTGAATCTTCAATCTCTACCTTACACGGTGTACGATCCATTAGGTTCCTTTTAGCGAGGCAGTGGGCGATTCAAACTCTTTCAAATCGATTGTGAATTGAAACTTACTTTCAATTCTCCCGTTAGTGATAATACACTTTTAGGGCTTCCACAAACCATGGTTGACGCCTAGCAGCATGTCATGGTTACCCAAGCTAATCAGAAGAGGTGGAGAACCTATTCAGTTTTAGGATTACAAATGCAATACGGTCTTTCTCTAACACAATACTCTTGACCACATTGTTTGGTTTGATAGTTTATTCAGGTCTACTATCCAATGTGAGTCTTGTGCTTATATGATTACCTTGAATGTGATTTGGAACACATTCCTAAATCTCATTCATACTTTGGCCAAAGATTCTTAATCATATCATAGAGTATTCTCCCTCAAACAGTTTGAAGGTTAGAGATCCCTTGTTGCGCATGCACTTGCCTCCATGGCTAAGTGGCTTAACCCCAACGATGCTATGGACACTCTCCTGATGGAGTGACTTTGACATAATCAAAGATTAAGGACCTAACCACAAGACAACTGTGATGCCTCAGGTCAAAAGACTAATTTGCATTATCCCAACCATGAGTTCTCATGTGACATGAATATGAGAACTCTTCGTTGATCGTGTTCAGTGAACTCATTCTCTATTGAGCACCTACGTACTTGTCTTGATGTCACACACACCAATGACTCGAGACTAGTCACTCTCCCTGAGAGAAGACATAGCACGTACTGATCTTAACGGACTGTCAATGCCCAATTGACAATCCTATGATCAGGAACGTTTAGGATGTGTCAACGAAAGAATGGTCTCATGAATCTAACTTCTTTAGATCGCATTCTTCCAATCACATATTCCTTGGACTTATCGTTTAAGCATATAACATTTATATGAGATGGCTCAAACAATAATCTTTGCCTTTACATTTAAACTACATTAGTTTGAAATGTCCGTAAAGTATCATCATATGATTGGTTTTAGGGCACATTTCCAACAAATTCTAACTTTGACATCGGAGACTCTTTGACCAAAGGAAAAGAAGGCAGAAATTTGCATTCACAAGTTGGTGCTTTCACTGAGAGTTTTGATTCACACGCTCGAAGAAGACTCTTGCATTCAAGGTTTCTCGTTTCTTGTTCATTCGTAGATTTTTCGTACGTTCTTGTTTCTAGAATTTTTTTTATAAAAATTCTTTGAATAAACATAAAAGAAAAGTAGAATGACAAGAAATTCAGAAAGCACAACGAATGGAACTTCCAATCATCAAGAATTAGGACCACAACGATCCACAAGACTCAACGTGATGACAAGTTAAGCGGCACCACCCCCATGGGGAACCACCATTGCAGCCCCAGCAGCGCGAGCCCAAGTTCAACGCATAGCCTAGGACCTGCAGGGCTAAGCCATGCAGAAGACAGCCTAGTTCCCCGCGCTACTTGAAACCACACAGACCCAAGCCCAAGGCAAGCCGGTTTGAGCCACGACTTGATACGAGCCCAGCGCGCTCCCGAGCCAAGCCTAAGCCTCGCACCTACGTGCACAGCATGCGGACCAGCCTACTCCCGTTGTCTCCCACGCAGCCTAAATTGGTCCAAGATAGGTTTAACTGTCCCAGCTTCAGATTTCTGGGCCGATGATTGAAACAGGGCATTTTCACCCTATTTTTTTTTGCATATTTGACGTTTCCCAATTTAAATCTCGCTCCCAAAGTCCATTACACTTGCATTACTTAAGGAGACGCATTCTGTCCAAGCTCTTCCAAACTGAATGGCGAACAACACTTGTCTCGACAAGTCATAGAGTTGACAAGCGTCCTCACACAGTAGACGACCTTTGTGAACCAGCTATTGCAATGCAACGAGATGCAACATACCCCAGACAAGGTGTCCTAAAGTAGGACAAGGATAGACGAAGAACCTCTCCAACAGCGTCCTGGCAAGCAGCCACTTAACTAGCCACGAACTGAGCGTTCTGGCAGTGTACACTCCTGACTGGGCCCCCAAGATAGCATATACTCTCTTTTAGCACGTGAATGAGCGTGCAGTCTCAGCTAGGCCGGACGAGCATACACTCATGGTTGGAACCATATTCCGATAATCAACATGGGCAACCTTCCAGACAAAGTGTTCATTTGCAGCTAGGCTCGCAAGAAGCATCATCCACCTCATATCGGAGTAAGCAGCATGATGAACGAAGAGAAGCAGTCATTCAATCCGACTCGAGTTCAACCAGCAGCTTAAGAAGAATTCACTCGCTTGCTAGGAAAGTACCACATGCACCACAACCATGGCACAAACGAGCTAAACATATAGAAGAGCAGCCTAGACCAGCATGTTAAGATCAGGAGCAGCAGAGAGCTCAACTACCCCAACATAGACAAATTCAAGAAGAAGTAGAGAAGCTTTTAACCGAACGATTGCGCGATTTCCAACGCAATGAGGTCGTCAATGAGGCACTACGACGGGACATGACCAATATGAATAGGTCACCCTTCACGGACAAGATCGAGCAAGAAGAGCCTCCACGCAAGTTCAGCATGCCACATTTCACATCCTTCAAAGGAGATGAAGATCCAAAGAGACACTTAAAGCACTACCGAAGCACAATGGTCCTTTATCGGAACAACGACACTCTTATGTGCAAGATATTCGCCACTACTCTACAAGGTGAACTGCAAGATTGGTTCTACACCCTACCGCCACTGTTCATCCGAAGTTTCGATGAACATTCTTTGGTTTTCACTAAAGAATATTCAACCTACTGCTCGATCAAGAAAAAGTCCGACCATTTGTTCAACGTCAAGAATGACATTAAGGAATCGCTTCGCGACTATGTGAAAAGGTTCAAACCAGAGAAGCCAAAAATAGTCGGATGCGACAACTCGATAGCAAGTGCAGCTTCCCAAAAAGGATTCCCAGCAAAACACCCGCTGTTCGGAGAATTGATTATGAAAGAAGATCTAACTATGGCAAATTGTTTCGCTTTGGCCGAGAAGCATGCACTTTGGAATGAGTCCCGGTGAGCAGACAAGGCACCCGAGCAGCCTCCAAAAGAATAGGTAGTAGCTCAAAAGAAAGAGGACGGGAAACAATACAATAATAAAACAGGCAGGGGGCCAAGTGTAGGGACCGATCCTTGACTAAAGGTGGCCTGACGCCCAAGAACTACTCTAAGTTCTCGATCCCGATCCACCAAATCCTTCACGATATCAAGAGCAAAACATGGTTTAAGTTGCTGAGACAATCAAAAGGAGATACTTCTAAGTTGGACTATACTAAGTACTGCGTATTCCACTTAGGTCTCGGTCACACAACTGACGATTGCTACACTTGGAAGAACTACCTAGAGAAGCTTGTGAAAGAGGGCAAGGTCGACAGATACTTGGACAAGCTAGCTACGCAACCTAAAAGGAATGCAAACACCGACGAAAAGCTACCCGCTAAGATGATTTAGATTAATGGCATCTTCACAGAATCCGAGCACTTGGGGGCCACCAACAACTCTAAGAAGAGGAATGATCGAGGAAGCTTTACTAGTCTCACAAGTCCAGGCAGTCAACACCCAACCTGGACCTATCGTTAGCTTCACCGAGCAGGATGCTGAAGGTGTTGATTTCCCATATGATGACGCACTAATAGCATCTGTCCAACTAGCCCATGCCATAGTCAACAGGATGATGGTTGACAATGGATGTGCGGTCAACCTACTTCAGCTCTCAGTAATTCAAAAGATGGGCCTGGAAAACACAATTATACACCGAGCAGAGGTACTCACCGGATTCAACGGACACACCTCGACTGCCATCGACAACATCACACTTGATGTGAGAACACCGCCAATTGTCTCAAAGAAAACGTTCACAATAGCAAGCGACCCGTCTGACTACAACGAGATTCTAGGGTGACCTTGGCAGATAAAGCTGGACTTCGTAACCTCCATCAAGTATTAAAAAATTTGATTCTGCATCCCAGGAGGAATAGTAGGAGAAATCAAGTCTAACCAAGTCACATCTGGACTATGCACTATGCAAGTACTTGATAGGAGCATATTTATGCGACTTTGTTAGCTTGTTTCTTTGCATTTAGTAAGTTAGTTTCTATTGATTATAATGATTTAAGCTATTTTTGTGTGTTTGTAGGTTTAAATGAAAAAGTTGGCAAGAAAGTGCAATTTGGAGCTATTTAGAGCAGTTTTGGGCTTGGAATGGATAACTTGCATATGGAGCAAGGTGGATCGACAAATTTGAAGTCAAAAGAAGCTAGGAACATGCTACAAATCTGGAGAAACAAGTTCAAGGAGTCAAAAAAAAGACCTTTAACCCTGTAGAGGCTACCGAGGTCCAAATGGCAATCACAGCATACGGATCAAGAAGATGGTGTCTAAATCAACGTGCCAGCAAATTAGACGGGGTAGAAACCTGAAGAGGACGCCGAACACATCATTCTTGGTCCTGAGTAGCCAGAGAAGACTGCTAGAATCGGCCCACGTCTGAGCCCAAAGGAAAATGAGGAACTCACTGTTTTCCTTAAGAAAAATTATGACGTCTTCGCATGGTCACCTTCTGACATGCTTGGCATCAACCCCAAGATAGCTTGCCACAAGCTGCACGTCGATTCCACTGCCAAACCGGTAATCCAAAAATGAAGATACTTCGTACCCGAACGAGTAGTGATCATCGAAGTGGAAATCGACAAGCTATTGGAGGCCGGATTCATAGAAGAGAGAGCACACTTAGCATTGCTTGCCACATTGCGCTAGTAATGAAGAAAGAGAAGGGTAAATGAAGTGTTTACGTAGACTACACCAACCTTAACAAGGCATGCCCAAAAGATCCTTATCTAGTTCCCCGAATTGATCTACTAGTAGATTTAACTTCTGGGAACCAGCTGCTCAATTTCTTAGATGCATACTTTAACTATAACCAAATAGCCATGCATGAGCCCGACAAGGAGAAAACCGGGTTCATGATCGAGTGAAGCATCTATTACTACAAGGTCATGCCTTTTGGCCTCAAGAACGTGAGAGTCACTTACCAACGACTGGTAAACATGATGTTCAAGAAACAATTTGGAGTAACCATGGAGGTCTATGTTGATGACATTATGGTGAAGGGCAAGCAATGATTAGAACACGTTGGCAACTTGGCGAAAACTTTCGACATCCTTAGAAAGTACAAGATGAAGCTCAATCCTGTCAAGTGCATATTTGGAGTATCTTCAGGCAGATTCTTAGGGTACCTAGTAACCCAATGAGGAATTGAAGCACATCCCAAGTAGATCCGAGCAATCCTAGAGATGAAATCTCCAACTTCCTTAAAGGAGATACAAAGCTTCACCAGACGAGTAGCCGTGCTCCGCTTTCTCTCGTGATCTACTGATCGGTGCAAGCCTTTTTTCAAGGCTATCAAGAAGGCACAATGAGATAAATGGGATGATGAGTGTGAAAGAGCTTTCCAAGACCTGAAGAAGTATCTCACATCATCTCCCTTACTATCCAAGCCGGAAGTAGCGAATGACTTATATATTTACTTGGTAGTCTCGCAAGTAGCTGTGACCTTTGCCCTCATATGAGAAAAGTTGGGGGTCTAACTACCTGTATTCTACACTTCTAGAGCTTTTCTCGATGCGGAAACTAGATATCCGAAGATCGAGAAATTAATTTTGGCTCTAGTTGTTGCGGCTCGGAAGCTCAGACTATATTTTCAGCTCATACAGTCATTGTCATGACTCAGTATCCTCTATGATCAATCTTACATAGTCCGGACGCTTCTTAATGAGTAATGAAATGGGCGTTGGAACTTGGCCAATACGGCTTAGTTCTCCGACCTCGCATGGAAATAAAGGCCCAAGCCTTGGTGGACTTTATAGTAGAATTCACGCTTAGCCTAAGCGACACAACAGAGCAGCCCAACGACACCCCGAAGGCAGCCGAACACACCCTAGACACACCTACTCCACCTTCTGGAGACTTTTAGCATTTACATGTTGACAACACATCCAACTATAAGGGCTCGGGAGTAGGCGTGGTCCTCGTCACACCAGATGGTTCGATGCTCGAGCAAGCAATCACACTAAGCTTTAAGTCATCCAACAACGAAGTAGAGTACAAAGCCCTACAACCAGGCCTCCAAATGGCAAAAGACTTGGCGATAAAAAAGCTTGCGATCCATTCTGATTCCTAGCTAATCACCAGCCAAACTACTGGGGAGTACACGACAAAACATCCGAAGATGGCGTAATACCTAGAAAAGGTACGAAAGCAACTTAAGGCCTTTCAGACTTACACCTTCACTCAAGTTTCGCTAGTAGAAAATGTCTACGCGGACGTGATAGCCGGCCTAGGTTCGACCGTCGACCACCAACTTAAACGCTCTATTCTGGTGGAATATCTAGACAAGCCAAATATAGAGGCGGAGCCAGCAACCAAGATGTCATAAGTTAGTATAACTCCAAATTGGCAAGATTCCATTATAAACTACCTGGTCAATGGCACGCTCCTCATAGAAAAATTGTAGTCTAGAAAGCTCCAAACAAAGGCAGCATACTACTACATGTGGAACGACATTTTTGTCCGAAGATCCTACACTAGACCACATCTCCGCCTAGCACCTCCTGATGACCTAAAGGTTCTAAGTTCAATCCACAAACATGTCTGTGGAAATCACTTCGAAGGCCAATCTTTAGCATAAAAGACTCTTAAAGCAGGCTACTACTGGCCTATTATGACTCAAGATGCTAAGGAATTAGTACAAAAATGTGACAATTGCCAACACTATAAGCTTGTACTAGCATTACCTGCCAACGAATTACACCCACAGACGAGTCATTGGCCGTTCATGCAGTGGGCAATCGACTTGGTGGGGCCAATGTTGTCCACTACTAGAGGCAGAGGCATAATGATCATGGCGACCGACTACCTCACCAATTAGGTGGAAGCAAAGCCCATGACAACCATAATATAGGCAGACATAGAGCACTTCATATAGAGGAACATCATTTGTCGATTTGGCATCTCTCAATCCATCGTCATGGACAACGGCCCGCAATTCGTAGGCAAAGATTTGGCGAAGTTCTTCCAGAAATATGGCATCAAGCAGCACATGTCCACTCTGAGGTATCCCTAAGGCAACAGGCAGGCCAAAGCATCAAACAAGACAATTCTCAACTGCCTCAAGAAATCCCTCTCCGAAAAGAAGGGAAAATAGCCAGACGAACTCCCTGGATGTTTATGGGCGTATCGCACAACCAAACGACGAGCAACCGGTGAGACTCTTTTCTCTTTGGCATTTGGTTCAGAAGAATTTATTCATCCCAATGTCATTGTGCCAAGTATCAACACTCTACTGCCAAGCATTGAGCAGAATGAAAATAAGATGGCCACAAATCTAGATCTAGCAGAGAAAGAACACGAGAAGGTCATCACCCACATCACAGCCTACTAGCAACAGCTTATCTCCAGCAATAACAAAAGGGCCAAGATCCAACAATTCCGGCCCGAAGATCTATTCCTAAGAAAAGCCTCCATCACTGCCCCCAGAAAAGGCTCCAAAAAGATGGATTTCATCTGCGAAGGTCCGTACACAATTAGCATAGTAGGCGGCAAAGATAGTTAAACCTTAGCCACCATGAACGACAAAGAGATTGAAAAGTAGTGGAACAACTACAATCTGAGGAAGTACCATGCGTGACCTCCCACTACATCAAAACCAGAAGACTTAAGCTACTAGACGGGCACCACCTCGCAAAGCCGAGGATTATCCAGTTGTTATGTAGTTCCTACTTTACAGGTAAGTTTTCGTTCGTTTTTCAATGAAGAATTCAGAAGTAATTTACAACTTGGCTCGGCTACATGCTTACAACAACTGATCACTTATGCACTTCAAAAGAAGACCACGCCCTTCTTAGGGACTTATCTCACGAATTGCACCCCCTTGGGGACCAACCATGCTCTCCAATATGAGAGGGTAAACCAATTCCCCAACACCCACATGGGTTTGGTCTCCAATACGGGAGGATAAACTTACACTCCGAATATCCAGATGTGGATGAGTCGGGCTGCCCTAGTGTAACTAAGTGCACGATGGCTTGCACCAGGATTCCTAGAAGTAGCCATAATGGTCTTTTTTAGGCTTAGCTAACTGAAGGATTTTGGGTCTCTTGGCTTAATCTGTAGAGAACTAGGCCTCAGAGATGGATAAGGCACATTATGCAGTACGCCATATAGACGACTACCTTGGAACCCTAAAGTTGCTACCGAGTGCACTAAAGTAGCCTACAGCTTCGAGAAGACTACCTATGGTTTGCCATTTGAGCAATAAGTCACGCTAAACTTATACAGCCACACATTTTTGTGAAAAGTTAAACAAGTTAACGTGCATATACAAAGCTTTATCCACTACCGACATGCTATGTAGGCGATAAGCTTCACCTCTGCCAAAGTGTGAAATGATCGTTTAAGATTTACACTAATTCCTAGAGTGTTGTGATACTTGTTACACAACCCACGAAATTTGTTACATAAAAAGCAAGGAGTTCTCCTAGACCTTTGCTTACCAAATTCCATACAACTGCGTATTTTTTATATGAAAGGTTAGCGAATTTCATAACCCAAAAATCTTTAGTACATTGTGATGTAGGCCACACAGCTCAAAGGATTAAAGAAAGCCAAATGGTCACACAAACTCGTCTGCTTCTAAAAGTAAGGCGTTCGGCTGCCATCCCTATGGGTAACAACTTTGCAAAAGTTCTACACCAACACCCATGGCTGCATAGGCTACGCGGGCCTATTTGCTTATAGAAAAGTAGCACGCCTGCTACTTGCCTAAAGGTCAAAAGTTGGGCATGAACAAAAGAAGCAAAGATAAAGAAAAATGAAGGAAGCAAGTTAATTAAATTTTCTAGCAAA